AAATGACTTAGTAACCAAGCGAACTAACTCTAATGTAAACTCTCTTTTGCATCCTCCAACACGTAGTTTGGTTTATAGTGGATAAGAACAGGGATTTTTGGAAATTTTGTTCATTCTAGTTGGTTTCCACCTCATTTGCACACGAAAGAGATGCTCATCTTGCACCTTTCCCGCAAGAGGATTGCGGCTTTTGTCGACACCCTATATATCACAACTTCAGAGATGTTCAACATTAGTCTTTCTCTGGCTGTCCGAGTAATGGTGCGGCTGGTGGAATCTCCTTAAAATAAAGGATCTTTACAAAGCAGATCTTTACTACTAGCTTTCAATGGGAAAAGACGAAACAGGCATGCATCAGTTACACTTTCACACAGGGACGGTGGGGTTTGTAATCTTCAGCGGTTGGTACGGAACAACAGAGGCTCAGGGCGCACCAGTAAACGCATCCCAACTTAGCGAATTGCAATGATAAAGTCCAGCATGACAAATCAGTTTGCAGTCCAAAGCAAGTGCATGTTTGTCCATTAACCTCAAATGCTTGGGGGTACCATAGTGCCTGACTTGTCATTCCATTTCTTTGTCACGCTTAATTTCAACCGCCCACTTTAAGTCATCTTTTCGCTAATAAAGCCCTTAACTTATGAGTCTGTAGGATATCTGCCGGCGAAATATCACGCCGTTCAGTTGGTTGGGAGATATCGTGGAAAGCGAGTAGCTCAATAATTTTGTCGTGGTCGAAATTTAGCTTTCACTGCAGTACAAAACTATTGAGAAAGATCAACCTCTCCCGACGAAAAATCTACTATAGAAGAAGCGAGCCCAACCTTGTCCAGAGGCCAGTCGTATACATCATAAACATACAGCGTATAGTGTCGCAGTTGTTGACTATGTCTATGGGTAAGTGGAAAGCCTTTCCCATAAACGCGTCACCATAATTTACTACAACGTTGTACCTTCTTCTTCACATTCATCAGGCCCTCCGGAAAAGAACGGTGGAACAAATGAGTACCGCCTTCAAGGTCGCCGTAGCCAGCGCAGCTATTGGGCACATTGGCAGTTTCTCCATGATGGCCGCAAGTGTATGGGCCTAACTGTTTATGACCAATGAGGACACGGCACTTTGCTTGCTTTTTTTTTTAGAAAAAAACCTTCGCGATAACACTACTGTCCAAACCTAACTTTACAAAGGCAGTTTACAGTTCAGTTTCGCTAACATTAGCCGAACGTCTCGTATTTCGGTACACAAAACTAACAAATAACACGGATGGCAAATCACTCTGTAGTAGCAGTATTTCTTGCAGGCGAATTTCCAAGATGCATGTCTTTTAACAGGTTAGAGGATACATTAGCCAATGTACAGCCCAGCCACCTAAGCTAACGTGCTCCAATGAGCATAACCTTACTTTAAAACCAAACAATTTCATGGTCCGAAAATTTTTTCTCTTACAGCCTTATTGAGGTGCGAAAGCAGTCGGGCTAACAACTGCAGGTCTAGGGAACTACAAAAATGACCGCAGCAAACTAACAATAATCAGAGGGGTCAGTTGGATAAAAATATAGCAAATTTCTATCGCCCATCACCAACTTGCCATGGTCATCGACTCGCACTTTTCAAGAAGCGCGTGTCTATTTTGACAGCACTGCATTGCAGAAGCGACATGCAAAATTAGTGAATCATTCTCCGGTCCACGAAATTGGCTTGGATGAGATTCACATGCATTGTGATAGCTCAACCATTACATCAATACCTTCAAGCGATAGCCTCGTGGTTGTTCCATTTTCACTGCAGGTGAAAGGGAATAGCGCAACGTTGTCATACGTTAACACAAGGCGGATTCGACCTATTCATCTGTCTTAGGTTTTACATCAATCTAGCGTTTGGACGCACCAAGCAGGAAGTTCAACTTGAAAGAGTCAGTTGGTTTGCATCATTAGGGAAGCGGCGGCTCTCACCCGTAAATAGGAACTAGTAAAGTGTTAGTTACTCATGACTTTTAGATAAGTTGTTACCATTGAGGACGATATCAGTGTTGACTGGTGGTACTTCATAGCCATGCAGTTATATCAACTTATTTGGGGGGAACTCTGCCACACAAACAGATATGGTCGGTCCACGAAATTGGCTTGGATGAGATTCACATGCATTGTGATAGCTCAACCATTACATCAATACCTTCAAGCGATAGCCTCGTGGTTGTTCCATTTTCACTGCAGGTGAAAGGGAATAGGGCAACGTTGTCATACGTTAACACAAGGCGGATTCGACCTATTCATCTGTCTTAGGTTGTACATCAATCTAGCGTTTGGACGCACCAAGCAGGCAGGAAGTTCTGAAAGAGTCAGTTGGTTTGCATCATTAGGGAAGCGGCGGCTCTCACCCGTAAATAGGAACTAGTAAAGTGTTAGTTACTCATGACTTTTAGATAAGTTGTTACCATTGAGGACGATATCAGTGTTGACTGGTGGTACTTCATAGCCATGCAGTTATATCAACTTATTTGGGGGGAACTCTGCCACACAAACAGATATGGTACAATGAGGGCCATAGTATTGGCCAACCATATGCACTTTCAAGTCCAAAGTAACCAAAATTCTGTAAGACAATCGGAATAAAAACCGACAGTAAGAAAACGTCATTGACAGTCACTCTAGCGATGCACTGCCTGTGGTGGCCAAGGAGGCGAAACTTTGGCTTTACCATTAGTTGCTCTGAGGTTAGAAACAGTGGGACCGTTGACAGTCACTCTAGTGATACACTGCCTGTGGTGGTGGTGGTGGTGGCCAAGGAGGCGAAACTTTGGCGTTACTATTAGTTGCTCTGAGGTTAGAAACAGTGGGATCAAACAGCCCTTGTAAGAAAAACGGCTGCTCTTACAAGTAAAGACTTTTCAAAGGATAACAACAGTTCAGACGTTTCCGTGGTGGGGGTGTTCCTCGAGTTCGGACTCTTATCTGACACATTCAGGTGGGTCAGCGAATCATATGGAAACTGCGATGCCTCGGCATGCCGAACCATCAACCACCGGAATGAGCGTTATCCTCGACGATTCTATAAGAAGCAGCGATATGGGCAACCTGTGATTGCGATTAGGATATGGAAGAGACTGTAGTAATTCTGAGTGAGTTGTTGCAGTCCACCATCCTATTCGGAGTCTCCACTGCCCTGAGGATTTTCTCGAAGATATTGGAAGTTATCGGCTTCAATGGTATCAGTGACGCATAGCATTAGGTTCCCTCGTTGTCGATTCTTCCCGTCCTTCCCCTTTGAGGATTCATAGGACTAAGGTTAGTCACTAGTGCTGCTAGGCGAATAACCAAGAACATCGTCGAACTACAAAGCTACTTGAATCGAATGCATTGGTCAATAAGATAAGTAAGCGATTTATTGGGAAGAACCAACAATCCCAGGAGATATGCAGCTCTATTCGGGAAGTGATAACAAATTAAGACTAGATTTTCTCCAGAAAATATTTTAACCGTTTTACTGACAAAAATACAGACAATGCAATCGAGCAGAACGGATGTACACTTTACTCATCGTGTTGACTTGGTTTATCATGGGACATCTAAGTTCGATCATTATGGGCTGTTGGAAGGCCTGATTGAGTAGGACGTTCGTTCACAGTGAAGAAGTACCCCACGAAAACAGCGGGGGTTTTAGTTTTAGTAGAAGCCACAACGGAACAGACTTTCAAGCATAATAAACTGCTGCATCGTGTTTGGACAACGGAATAGAGACAGGAAGGAGGTGTATGCGTTCGAAAGGTTAAGTGGACACGAGGCCACATTCCAATGTCCTTCAAGGCAATAAAAAAATGCTTGTATTAAGAAAGTAGCCTAAGCAGTGATACTTTTGTCTAAACCCAACTGGTGCAATTGGTCCACGAAATACGGACGTCCGTAACGTTCATAGTGTGATTGCTGCTCTAAGGAGAGTGAAGACACAACTGAAGCAAGCCGATCTTCGCCTTTTAGTTGACGCTTTGTCAAAACTTCAATTGGTAGGCCGCTGGTATGTGCAGCTTCCGGGGACAGTATGAGCATTGTGTGTTCGAACTGCGCCGATCGTAGACCATCCGTTGTGACTGCAGTCCACTTGTCTGGCCAAAGTTCATCACGCCACGTGCCCTCATTAATCATGGGTTCGATGGTGAAACAATGTCCAGGTTTCATCACGCCAACGGCCTTGTTACCTGGAAACAAGATTCAGGGAGTATAGCACATTAATGGAGACCGCCTATCCGGATTCGTATAAGGAACGCTTCAGTTTAACTTTGAAATGCGCGAAACTTCAGATTTTGTGGACAGTTTTGGTAAGAGATCAAGACAGATGGTGGAAAGAACACTGTGAGGCTATAAAGACAAAGATATAAAGATAAAGCAGCATCGAGGTTCTATAAGAAGTAACAGAGCTTTTTTTAATAGGCAGAAGTGAAAGGTAAGAAACGGCCCGAATTTGTACGAAAAAAAGAGAAAACAAAAGCTCGATTTGGTAATGAATCTTGAAAGACTTGGCCCAAAGGCATGGTGAGGGCAGTACGCGATTAGCTGAAGGCGGATTGGCTTATGCAGACAAGTAAACCGATCGTCCTACCGTATATGAGAAAAATAGCTGGAATTTTAGCAACCAAAAAGAATCCTGGTGGCCCACAAACCAACGGCAATATTGAGGTGTTGAGGGAAACATCGACCAGAATACCAGAACCAATGTTGTTCATCAAATTAACTACATGGACTGCCATACATACTGTGTTGAACAAACAGGACGAAAACTACCTACGCGGATGAAGGGACACACTACAGCTATCAGAAGCCATGATCTACTCCCTCTGATTTCAAAACACGAAGATCAAGGACACGGATTCTAGAAGGCGTGGAGGTCCTGGCGAGCGGAAACATACGACAAGGGGATTTTTCCAAAAAACATAGTACTCCACAACAAACTCCACCAAGGGGAGTATAGCAACTGACCCAATCTACGTACCACCACAAGCGAAGGATCACTAACTCAACTACCGGATAAGGTGACAAGAATGATAACCGTGGGATCGACGGTTCAAAGGTCACATAGAATGAATCGGAAAGGCCAGCTTCAAATGTCAATCAATCAATCAATTGATCAATCACGGAGCCAGTTAACGATCCAAACGAGCAACCATAACCAGCGCCCAGTTCCCGCACCCGGCGTCTACAAGACATATAGTAACACAAGAAGAGCACGCCTTACGATTAGCTGAGATTGGCTTATGCAGACAAGTAAACCGATCGTCCTACCGTATATGAGAAAAATAGCTGGAATTTTAGCAACCAAAAAGAATCCTGGTGGCCCACAAACCAACGGCAATATTGAGGTGTTGAGGGAAACATCGACCAGAATACCAGAACCAATGTTGTTCATCAAATTAACTACATGGACTGCCATACATACTGTGTTGAACAAACAGGACGAAAACTACCTACGCGGATGAAGGGACACACTACAGCTATCAGAAGCCATGATCTACTCCCTCTGATTTCAAAACACGAAGATCAAGGACACGGATTCTAGAAGGCGTGGAGGTCCTGGCGAGCGGAAACATACGACAAGGGGATTTTTCCAAAAAACATAGTACTCCACAACAAACTCCACCAAGGGGAGTATAGCAACTGACCCAATCTACGTACCACCACAAGCGAAGGATCACTAACTCAACTACCGGATAAGGTGACAAGAATGATAACCGTGGGATCGACGGTTCAAAGGTCACATAGAATGAATCGGAAAGGCCAGCTTCAAATGTCAATCAATCAATCAATTGATCAATCACGGAGCCAGTTAACGATCCAAACGAGCAACCATAACCAGCGCCCAGTTCCCGCACCCGGCGTCTACAAGACATATAGTAACACAAGAAGAGCACGCCTTAATGCTTACATATCGACACACTGCCGCTCTACTACTCACTGAGGATGTCACCTCGGTTGGTGACGAAGCGTCTGCAATCAGAATACCCGAAACAGAGCAACAAACAGTTGGAGACAACCATAATTAGAACCCGATCCATTAGCACGCTGTGCGTAAAGAACAGCTCCACGAAATTAGACGTACAAGATTTGCGCAAACTGATTGACAGCGTATCGGAAATTTCGTCCTGTTTAGGATTCCTCAAGACGTTGCTCAACACAAAAAGCCAATTCACTTGTGGCATCACCTTGTCGGGTTGCTCGACGGCTGAAACGCTGCTAGCAGAAGCCAGGACATCAGAGGTGGATTCAAATCAAGGACCACCGGGTCGGGCCTTAATTAAAGCGTTGTCTTGATCAGCTGTTGTTTTGATGCCAGTTACTACACGATTATGGGGATTCTGACCAGCACCCAGTATCAGGTACAACTGATACTAACATAACGCCTGGCAGTTAGCCATCAGCCAGTTGGTTACCGTGAAGCTATGAGCAAACACCAAAGTTGGATTAGGAGGACGATGCCAAAAGTTGTGTAAGGTTACAGTTAGAGGTTCGAAAAAATGGCAAACACATAAAGCATGTGAATATATCAATGGGTCTTCGTACGGAAACTTACGGGCATAATGGGGAACATTCGGCGGACAGTGGAACAAGCGGTGGATGCCATGGCCAGAGTATGTTCGTACGACTGAAAACCCATCAACAGCAGCTTGCTTTGTGATGATATCTCCCATTTCACGATATTTTACACCGGGGCGGACTGTGAATAGTAGAAACAGCGGGAAGGGAGAAACACAACAACCAGATCTCACAAAATAGTCAAAACGCTACAAACTAATATGGATGCTGGTTTGCTTGTAACATCGTACACAGGATGCACATAAGGGGTGAGAAAACCTGTGCAATTTAATATTGATTATCAGCACAGTTACGGATGCTATCTTCATCAAAAGTACAAATATGTGCGGCTTAGGTAAACTATTGCGTACACATGTAAAGCTAGTATAGAGACGAAATTGTTAGAAAGCATGCTACAGAAAAACAAGAAGTGTCTGTTGGCAAGATTGCAAGCTTCACAAAATACACTGGATCCGTTTGCCGGGCTGCCCACTCAACTCAACCAGTGCTTTCAGGAGACATCCCAGTGAGATTAGTGATATAAACAATATCATGGATTTCTCTACAGGATTCTACAACATTGAAGAAAACTTATAGTAGAGTACAAGCCAGCTCAACCCGTGGGCGAGATATCTAGGATTCGGCTCTAGCGACAACGTGTCTGCCTCTTCATTTGAACTATGGTTGTGTGTCTACCCAAGACATGCCCATTAAAAAATGTCCCCATGCGAAAGAATACTCAAACCACTAATTGGGATTTAGCCCTAAATGAAGTTGCCGACACCCACCGTAAAACAAAATAAAGGTACAACAAACCGAATCTTAGAAGGCTATAGTACCATTGATAGTCAGATATGTTACTGACAACCTGCTACTTCCGACCTCAATTGAGCGGGGAACAACACATATCTCGATGGACACAGCTTTAAACGTCCGGTCTACAGTGTTAGGGAGACGTTGTGAGTGAAACAATCTTCGAACTTTCAACAATTTACCGCCTTTTCCCGTTGGACGTCTGACATCATCCACGAAGTCCTGTGACACCTGACGATATGTCGAACAAAGTATCCGAGACAGTAATAACCTGGGTACCTAGCGAGAGAAATACGCTGAAACAGTAAGTCCATATAGGGTTGCTACTAACAAGTTCCCAGTTCTTAGGATAGACCATCCATTGGGGTAGATCACCGGAATTCTGAGAGGTAACTTAAGATGAAGGTACCCTGATGCCTAAAAAGGAGTAGAAAGAATGCGTGACCCGATGCACACGAACCTGGTTTGACTGGAACATAATGCGAAGCGGAAAGAATTCAGTAGTGTACCCTGTGTTGGTAAAGCAGAATCGGTCGTAAGCACACACAGGAATCTTTGTCAGGCAACTAACAGAACAAGCGAAGTCAAGAAGACTAATACGCGCCATAAATTATCATGCACGCACTATTTTTAAGGCAAACCGTCAGTTCACCTTAGGTGGAATGTGAAATGCTACACAATTTGCTGCAGTTTTGAAAGAAGCATTAAAGATAGCACTAAGTGTCTCTGAAGCAGTGATGAAGTGCTACGCCAGTAATAGCAAGATATCCAGGAGTATCTGCTAAATATGCTTACTGGAAACCGCTGTATAGGATTTCACGATTTCACATCAACTGCAAGAACTAAGAACTAGAGACCTAACTCAAAATTTTTCACAAGCATACTTGCGTGACAGGAAAACCACCTCGCTCTCGCGTGGCGAAATGGATGAAGACGGGGGTTTTTCGTTCATATCATATGTGCCTGAGTGCTTTATTTGTAGAGACAAGTAAGGTTAGTAAGCGCTAGCCATTAGCTTGCAAACTAAGGAGGTTACAAATACCAATCTTCCAGAAACCGGTTTGTGGTATCACGAACTAACGAGAAGCCCAATGGCTTCACACAATGGTCTACCTAAGGGTAGAAAAACCCAAAGCAAATAAGCCATAGCCGAAAAGAAAAGCAGGTAGGTTTGACGAACGAAGAGTTGTCAAACTTATCTCTATGCTTCACCAAAAACGTGCGAAGCCCGTTTAAACCCTGGTGCACATATTACACAGGGTGGCGACTTCAAAGGGAGATTTGAGATCCACTCATGGACCCTAATTGGCTGTTTTCCTTAAGACCTTTTGCGACCTTCCGACGTCAGGGTAAACATACTTTGACCACAATAATGACAATGCCAATTTGGGCCGAAACCGAGTTCTGGATTGAAGTACCTCTAAAATCACTGCATCCAAGTACAGAAAGTGTCACTTAACGAAAATTTCCCATATTACTAGAAACAATCTCATGTTTTCCCCAAAGCAAACCGTGGGTCACGCCCAACACATTAAAGTTATGGAACGTCTTCTGGTCAAGTGGACGCCGTCCACCGATGCTGACTACACTACTCGCAAAATTTTGGCCACCATTTCCAATTCACCACCGCCCAAAGCACCAATTCCAGAGAAGAATACGAAGCGCCTATTCGAACAGAAGAGGTAGTAATCGCCACATTAAAGCCTTATCATAAGTAAATCTATGGGATTCATGCGTGAGTGTGAGTGTTAATAATGACATCAACAGAAGAGGGAGTTGAATTCACAAGCAGAAACAGTCGCTCGAACGCGAAAGAAACATTGGGGGCAGCTGAGGGCAGAAGGACCAGGAGTGTAAAACTATATCAAACGCGAAAGTTGGCGATATGCTGAGGAACTCCTGCAAAACATAGGAACGACTGCTCTTTCAACGGCAATTCGGCTGCTGGTTACAAGAAGGGATGCCATGTATTTACCTGCCATTTGTAACTTGTTTGGATGCGAATTGGAAAGAAACCTATCCGCTGATGAAGAGACTTTTTCTGATAAACCTGACACTAGGCCAGTGTGTTTTACGGAGTCTGCGAAACACGGGTTTAGCAGGTTGGTTAGCAGATAGATTGCGAGACTTCAAATTACGGTGGAAATGACTGGTTTTTTTCATTCTTCGAAAAAACGCACATAAGCCGATCAACACTAATATGCCTATGCAGGTTTGTAGCACACCTGTGTGGTTATTTGAAACATCTGGTCAGATGCTCCACTGAGCCCGCTCTTTGAAGGAATCTTAAAATCTTGTCAAGTCCGACAACATGTACTCAAGAATACACCAAGGTGTGTTTCAACCAGTCACTTCAACGGAGGTTGCTGTGGGCGTCCCATTTCAACATATTATAAGTCGATCTGGCTATTTGGTGCGACAGAGAAGGTCGACTGGCTATGACAGATTTACGTTGCTATGTTGTTGGATGAAGTAGTCAGGGTAACTAGCATTGCATCCAACACTGAAATGCAGTCGTACCTAACCTAGTAGATGAGCCATCATTGCACGTGTTAAAGCGAAAACTGATGCGTTCATCGTTCGAGAAGACGTGCTTGAACCTTGCGAGCTGTAAACGGATGTCAACTTGCATCCACAAGTCCGTCCACGCGCATCCACAAATACCTCGTAAAATGAAACATCGTCCATAGTTTGGGTGTGACAAGCTCGCCTAGGTGGTGCGGATCACAGCTAAATATTAATTTATTCTGGCTTCAGCGTGTGTTGAACCTAATCGTTCCACGAATGCGCAAGGCAGACATTAGTGGACTATGGAGATAAACCATCAACACGTTGGAACCGGGTGATCTGCAGTATTACGGACGTGTTTTGGGCCAAATGTACCCTTGAAGATTGAGACCATTCCAGACCGTGGTGAGTGAGACGCAGGAGTGTAAAGTAGAATATCACAGCACAAGGCAAGCACCGGCCGCAGCTTCTAAGAAGTAGTCGGGTCGAGATGATCGAATTATCCACATGCTTTGGTAGGTCACAAACGGTAAAAAGTTGAAAGTATAAATTGGCTTGTGTGATAAGACCAAAACCTCAAGATAAATGGCAAGGAATGGTTGAATATGAAGGAATCAGAGGGCAAGGAATTACACGTACCGGCATCCATTGACTTCGCGAGACACATGTACGCGTTCTTTACCAATCGGATTGATCGGTCATCGGGACGGCCCACGAACACAGTCTCATTAACATCCCCGTGAAATCCCTTGTGAAAAGTGGTAATATCCACTGGAAACGAAAGCATTTGTATTTAAAAGGAAACGCAGAACGTATACCGTAGTGTTAGCTCAGGATGAACATGTGTATGAAGTGGAGCAAACAATTAGATTCAAGCTATTATTGATCCAACTTTGTTGTTACATGTGGATAGTAAGAGTATTTTGGCACTGTGGATAGGTATCTTACAATGAAGTGTAATAGAAAAATATATAGTTTTCAATAGCCAACAAACCGAGCATTTTTACAAATTTCATTTAAACCGCTTGACCCTGCATTCTTAAGGAAGTGAGATGTACTCTTTGAGGCAAAACGGTGATGGAGTCCAGAAGACCCGAACTTCCTTTCCACTTTCAATACGGCGTTTGACCGAAATTTTCTTCACCTTTTGACTTTCATCAACAAGCATGTTGGCGGCATCCTACCCAACCTACATAGGTCATTCTGACTTAATCGCCAAGTTAATAATGAAGCCCCACGTATCATTAGGTTACCGCCGTCAGTTTCTAGTTCGTTACACCAAGAGAAGGAAGTTCATTGGAGCAATTAGGTCATCATTGACAGGAAAGCAACGACAGCCACTGGACCGACGAGAACCTATTCAGTTTTTGGAGTCGAACGGGATCACGGAATCTTACTTATATGGTCCAACGGAAAGAAACCAACTCAGGGGAGTAGGAGTTGCATGCACTACCATTTCGAGGGTGAGCTGAGGTAGACATGTTCATGATGTCAGACAACAACCTGATGACTTGTGCCATCTCAGTTTGCCCTTACGATAACGGACACCCCTCTGTGATTGCTTGCTGTACTCTAGTGAACGTACTGAAACATCACCCACACACGCACCCATTTCGTTCGCATACTAACTGCTGAGTTGGTTTGGCGCGGCAGACTGCAAGCCTGTTCTCCGATTGGAAAAAGGTTGGACACTGAATGCGCAGGTTATGAGGAGAATACTAAGCGTGGGATGACCGAGGGGAGCTTGTAATTATGGACGAAATCTCTCGGATGGCAGTAGGCGATGGTACCGTCTTGGAGAAAACCGGTTTGACAGGAGCATGCTGTACAGTTGTAAGCAATTGATGGATTTGAAGCACGTAAAACAGTGAATCGGACGCATTTATCTGACATAAACTTTGCTTAATTTGATAACTACTGCCACACTCAGCTCAAGCTCTGGTTTGCAACTAGCGTGAGAAATCCAAGAGAATTCTTAAAAAGAAGCGTACATCAACTTACGGTTGAGAATATCACCGTCCTGAAGTGGACGCTGGTCTGGGATTCCATGGCAAATGACCTCATTGATTGACCTGGAATATAATGAAGTTGATTAGGTGATTCTGGAGTAGTGTGCGTGCGAATAAATAGTATACAGGACTGCACCACCAAACCGAACAACATGATGCCCACCGACTGTGCGAAAGAATCATTCGTACACAACTCAGTGAAAGACTGACAGTGTAATTACAGGTCTAGAATTGCTGCTGGAAACACAGGACGAACAAGTTTGCACTCGAATTCTAGAGAACGCGTGATCCCTGACCTTCAGACATTATGACCAGCAGATATGGGAGCTACAGCTTTTTGCAAACAACATTCTAACGTCGGATCGCTAAGTTTTGGAAACAGCTACCGAATGTCTTTGGGCACTATTGTGCGGTCGGCGATAAGCTCTTTGACTAAGCTCCAGAGAGGCCTCTCACTACACCATCATCAACACTGATGCTTAGCTGCCGTACAATCATAATTTCGTGGAAAGCCTTATTGTGAAGAGGAGAATAAAAGTGCGCGGGGGGACTTAGCGCTTGCCTACCAATCATTCTGTGAAGCCCACACATGCAGGGGCGAGATGGCTGTGGTTGGAGAGCGAATTTACTGACCGGAAGGTCAGAACCTGATCTCTGTATCTCGACTTCTGTCAAGGCTTGGACAACCTGGGAGTATCTCAGCCCTCGTGCTTCCTTCGGGTTGCGTGGCAACTAGGCGCGGGTGCTAAGATGAACCAACTAGTCAACTGAGTAGAATGGACCTTGAAAATTCAGGAAAACTGTAACTGTGGGTTGCTTATGTGAATGGCGTGTGGCATATTTCGAAGATTTGGTCAACGCAATGAAGGACAAAGGATGGCAAGAATCACGTTATGACCGGGGTCAAGCTGATACCTTTGTGATTACCACTCACCGCGGGCTCTTTTTGAAAATGAAAACTATCACAGATTCTCCCCAATTGTCAGAGACAGTCTCGTTTCCCAAGATTCCGGTGAATAGATCAGACAGGCGTTGACTAAGAGCTCTACTCCCATCCTTGAAAATGCGGGTGGAAAATCATCCGGACCAGGAGCTTGGTGACACTTAAGAAAATATGTGCAGTCGCGAACCTCTGAGGCCGTAGGGGTTTTGATTACTTCACTCGTGGCTCCAGTGCAATTTCGGAATCCAAATGAATGGCAAGTGACCACGAGAACTATTTTTGAGTCAAGGTGTCCTACTATTTTGAGGATGCTCGTGCCAAATTGATCCGTGGCGGTAGTCGTGTGGATCAGCCAAAATAATCTTCGGGCATTCCATACCTTTTGGGCCTATTAAAGTCCCTTAATCTTTTATGTCTGCAAGGTTTCACGGTCGGCGAGCACGAATTGGTTGGCTTGGTGTCCGATGATTCGTCGGGCTGGATTATGTTCTGGGTCAGCGGGAAAAGTTCTCCGAGATTCAAGCAGTGACACTGTTCTGTCTGATAGCCAGTATTTGAGCAGACCTAGTGGCGCCGTACAACGATGCGGCGAACTTGTTCCAGTACGAACTGATATCAGACGGTGGAGCGATTGGAATAGATTCCAGGCGGTTTTCATAAAATAGTATTAATTCGGGAGCTGCAAGGCTCTCAGTTACTAACATTAGGCGGCCTCAGAAAGCGAAAATAGGAAGCGGTCCGGACGAGAACCGAAATAAGTGTTCAGAAATGAGCTGCACTTAGTTATTGATCCACGCCATCGGTAACTAATGGTGATGTGATCAACTTGGGTTGGTAGCGGAGACACCGTTTGAGGACACCATGTATCCAGGCAAATGTTGTTACTTGGAGGTCAGTACTGGATGAAAAGTCTGCGGTCAGCATACAGCTGAGGCAGTCGTTTACCGCTGTTCGTGTGTACCGAGTCCAATGCAAGTCGACTACCCAATTAAGTCACACATGTGCTAAGTATGCCTAATTGTGCACTCATATCTCCAGCAACCACAACGTCTGTACTTTTGGTCCACCTTAAAAGTGCATTTAAGGCCTCATTGAACTTGTCTTCGATTATTAAGAGCTACTAATCGGTTGGGGCGTAAGCAGGCACCACAGACACGCAAAGAATACATTTCCGCTTGTGAAACTTCTTCACAGACGATACCAGACGAATAGCACAGAGGCGACTATCAAAGGGTGCTCACAATCCAGCAGGGGTCCTCCCGCTCGGTTGCTTGGGACGATGCACACCTTGCCGCAGCGAACTGTGCATTGCTAGAGATGCGCAGCCGGAGAGTGGCGGATCAGTTAGCTGAACTAATGCGCTTACATCTTGAATTCTTGTTCCTGAAACAAGGCACACACCAATGCCAAGCGAGTCTAGTGTGCGAGCAAGAGCAGCAGGGGGCTGTGGGTACCGGATGACGCGTAGAGGTTGTGACAAAGACTGATGCGAGACGAATGAAGTCGCCAGCTAAAGCGTGTGAAAGAGAAAGAAAAAAGGCGTCAACAGTAGTCTGTTTTCGCTGTAAGCAGCAATTAAGGCAACCTGGGCCTGGATACTAACACGGAGGCCAGACCTGGACAGGAGGATGATTAGGGTTCTCATTCAAACCCTTTGGTCTAAAAGCATAACCACAGGGCAGTGGTGTTTGGCTGGAAGAAGGTTTGTTATTGGCAAGCTTCGATAATCGGTTTGCTGATCGGGTACGAAGTGAGCTTGTGGTAACCATGGATAAATAGGCTCTGAGAAGAAGATCGTTAGAAGCCAGCATGAATCGTAGGATGATCCGAAACAGACAGTTGGTTCAAATCCAATCCCACCCACAACCAACCGCATCCTGATTTATGTGACCATGGTTGGTTAAGGAATAATCGTCCTCAGGTGGTACGATGGTGTCTTCGAACTGGGTTTCCGGATAGGTACAGACCACAAGAAGCGCATAGGCCAGGTAGTCTGTAAACCGTAGTTCGTGCACAAAAACTGAAAATACAACCCAGTCACTTTCCCGCCAAAGGAAGTAGATCAATTTGGACGTTCATTCTTCCAGCCAGAATTACAACGTCGGAATTTGTTACTTGGCCAGAAAAACTCGACAAGCGCCTCAGTCGAATTCTGGGCCACTTTATGTTGGAGCATAAACCGATCAAACGAACGACGTGTATTTATTGGGGCAGTTCGCTCCTTGGCATCAATATACAAGAGTCTCTAAGATGACGCTGTTCCGAAGAGGTTAAGACGACAACGGTACTGCAATCATACATTAGAGTTTTGGAGTCTCAGCACAAACCGAGCTCCAAACTCGAGACCGTTCTCACCGAAGCAACGTGCTGATCAATAGGTCCGAGGATGTGGATACTGAAAGCCAGAATGTCGATCTGGATCTCGGAAGAACTACGTGGACGGGTAGGGACGGAAGAGTAAGGAAGGGGCAACGTAGGAAGTTTCATCATAGTCGCCAAAACAACAACCTTTGAAACGTCCTAGTCTTTCATGTTCCACAAGGAGGTTGACTTGAGGAACCCCACTTCAAGCCTCTGATACAGTGTTCTGACCCAATCGGTTAAGGGGGTGAGTTTGCCCATCCTAAAGGCACACGGAACTTGGAACGCTGCCGCACATAGAAGATGCTTTTTAAGAAGCAGCGAACACTTACTTTTTCAAAGTATTCCGACTAAAGTTGGCGGTAACGGTAAAAAAAACTGGGTGTTCGATGCAGTAGGTGAATTTTCTGGCGTTTTCAGAAGGACTGGTAACGAAGGAACACCGCAGAAAACTTTGACCGAGATCAAAATAATTCTCAGCGACTGTCTGGTTGTGGAGCTGACATCAGATTCCAGTTCCGGCACCGAACCAATTGTTGCTCCAGAGCGCCAACCCGCCAAGGACGCATCCACAGGTTAACCTATGGAACCCTTACAAAGCTCAAAGATACGCCGAACACCTAGTCAACCTACTTCTGAATAGGCGGATGAAGGAGTACTTGTCAACATTGTAGACGATGTCCAAAACGGTTCAAACAAAAAAAAAGAGCTTCCACAGAGGTGATCCTGTCTTCTATAAGTCTCGACACCAAAAAGTAGTGGGAAATTGGCATTGTCGAGATGACAGCTCAGTCGACCGATGAAGGAACCAGGCAGGTGATTGTGAAGGTCGGGAGCTTTCCATTGTGACGTATGCCAATGGTACCTTCTGAGGTCTTGAACCCTAAAGGCATGAACCGCTAGAAGTGAATCGATCGGGCAACTGCTCACTCTTCCGGTCCAATCTTCATGCAACTCTTATAGTTGGGGCGGTGTTTCTACTCACAAGTAGCCTGGTTAATGGCTGTTCGTCAGAAGGCCGTTTTGATCCCCTGTTGCTCGTCCCTCGTTTTTCAGCTCCCGCCTAACGTTTACTATTACTCTAGTTAACCATAAGGAAATTTTGTCGCATGTGACGAAACGACCGACCGAGAGATCAAATCTAAGACCCTCGGATGGCAGCGGATGGTGTTATCCACCACACCAAGTCGGCTTCCTAAGGATGCCATCTTTAAATGATGCCTTTTTATTACGTTTTACCTGCTAGAGTGTGTTGATTCGCTCTAAAAAGACCTAAGCACGCGTTTTGATTCAATTTTCTGTACGTGTTGCTTTGTCAAGTTCTCTTATTTTTGAGTCCAACAACCAGTTGCCTATTATGCCAGAAAGTTTCGGCCTCCCTTTTGATTTGTAACTGTATAATGCCCATTTACACTGTCCGATTATTCGTATCCGTGCTCTTCGTATATACTCGTTACTGATTCCAGAAAGTCCTACTACCTCACCGATCCTACGGATTTGCAGTGTGACTGATTGTACGTTCTACCAATACACACTGTTCATTCACCGATATATTCATAGAACTCGCAGTTAATGCAGTTCCACGGCCACTTTCTGTCTTTTCATATAGCCCGGTACCTACTGAATAACAACCACGTTTTAGCGGATAGCTTAAAGCGCCCTGTAAGATCTTCATGCTCTCGGATCCTATATCGTGATTATCAGGTCGTCTATCTTTAAACAAGAGGTCCGCAGTGGGACAGATGGAGCAAATGGCCGTAGATGCATTCTTGATAATATTCAAATCTCTGCGAGCCACATTTATCCGCAAGGCCATTGTGATCGCCCAGGAAATGGCTATCTCGAGTAGTTAGTCGAGTCGGATAGTGACATTTGTTGGTGACAGGTTGACAAACAGAAATACTGATTGCGACAGAGGTCGTCATACGAAGCAAATGGTCAACTCACGTGCAACAGGATTTTGGGAAGTTGAAATAGTTCAGTGGTGAGGGATAGCAATCACGTTCTATACACGCCTGTAAGAAAGCACCAAGGGTAAGGGATAGACACCAAAGCTTCGTTAAAACGGATATGGGAATCCGAACTCCATAACTAACGATAATAAGGTGCGTAAACAGTGCCTGAATAGTTATGTATTTATGACCACTATAGTTCTATTTTGATGGTGACAAATGTGGTTAAAATAGAAACTCTACAGATTGCAAAACAGGGGACGTCATTGGTTAGGATTCGCTTTCCTAAGAGGTTTAGCGTGCACGGAAATCATAAGGAGCCATGAGTCCAAGTTAGTTTACCAACGTTTCCACTCGGCAATAAGCTTAGCTCTTCGGCTAAGATAGGAAAAGGTAGAAAATCCAAGGAAGTTCAAGGCATTACCGTTCGAACAAAAGGGCCAGAAAAGTGAAATATATTCTGACAAATATTCTCATTTGCACATGAAGTTGGTTTTGAGAGGATACTCGAGTAAATCCAGCTGGATTTCTCGTTTATAGTCGGTTTAAGTTGAACATCAGGTTGGCGCCTACCTGACAATTTCCACGAACGAAACAGATTGTGGGCTGTGTAAAAGTTTTTAGCAGCCTTGTGAGCAGTGTGCTACGTCTACACAACATATTCTGCCTTTGTTCGTTACACTGCATGGCAGTTTCACATAAAATGTGGATCAGAAACATGGACAGAAAGTCAAAAGCAGACATCAAGAGATGACATCTTTTAGCTGACACCCTTTTCAGCATCCTTTCATTTATTTCACGCGTTCACTAGTTAACAGGAGTGTAAAGCGAACTACTACGAAGATGAGCGGGTTCCAACGGAGCCCGGACAGTAATCAAAGTAATTCATGGAGGTATTCACGACGTACTGAAAGTCCGCGGCGAATGAGAAGCAGGCGCCAAGCAAAAACGGTTCGTGGGACAACCAGGAATTCACATACACAAGTCTAGTGATAAAAGACAGAAAACGGCTGTCCTTGTCTAACGTGGGGAGAGATAACAAGGCTTGTAGTGTCGGAATCGTATGGTAGGTTTAAATAATCATGAGACGGCTCGTCAACCATTTATTGATTGGTTAACTGTCGTTTTGAACTGTCCTTCTGTATTGGTACAGCTATTCTGGCTATTCCACATCAAAACAGGGAAGCAACAGATTCGAGTTTCGCTATGACTGGAGCTTCTCACTGGTATATCCGCGGCTACATGACAATTAGGACTGCATTCAACCAAACCACCATTACTACACCAAAGCCAAAACCTGTCTAATCAGGTGAGGATAGTCGCCGGACGTACCACCTGCCCGCTACATGGCACAAAGTTCCATAGCTGTGCCAGTGACCGGCTCGTCAGCACTTGTTGGTCATGCAGCGTGACGGAAGTTCAACTGAAACATCACGGACTGATCCATTAATCGAAACAACTAAGATTGTACGAACTTCTGGAGGAATAGTGACCAAAGGGGAATTAATTAATCGACTCCTCCTGAAAGGCGACTTTGCTTCAGGTCAATGCGCCGATCGCAAATTACTAGGCTGTAGGAAAACCCTCAAACCAGACAGAATATCTGACTATCCGCCAGGTCTGCTGATACACACGAAGCGATTTGTATTGGAATTCTCTTGAATGCTTGGGGGGTTTTACTCCATAGCGCAGAAATTCACAAGTGGTTCAGCAGGGTATTTTAGTATAAAATGTGGAGTACACGAGGAAATAAGTCAAAAAGACACCAGTGCACGTAGTCGAGTTTATTACAATCAGTATTCCTGTGGTCATCTCAGGGTTGTGACACGGAAGATTGACTGGCTGGCTTCTGATAGAGAATAACCGGTTGGGATCAATATCTTCATCGCCACAATGGCATAAAATTAGAGTCGAACATCAAAACCTCACTGCCGCACGACCATAAGTTACGACGAGTTTGTATCGGGGAAATAAGGGGGAGGAAAAGGGATCAGCAGCAGCCTAGCACAAACGCTGCCAGGTGCGTACGCCCCCGGACAAGCATCTAAACAACACGGATACAGTCGAACACAAGAACACCACTGACCGATTGGCAGCCGTATCTTTCAGTATCTTCACCCCAGCGCAAGGATAAGTACACGGACCCTATCCCAGGAAGCACATCAATACTGAAAGTACCGGGTTTTTTGTAATGGCGCTCATACATTTGCCAAGCCAGCTCTGTGTTTGTAACAATTTGAATTGGACACGAAAGCGGTGATCCTCTTGACGGGCGATATGTAGTGCATGACAAATCTACTAAAGCTGGATAAATTCCTCAAATGAGGCTTCTGCTGTAGAACCGATATACTCACTATTCAAATGCCCCGTTGCAGAATCGTTTGCATTAGCGAACATGCGTTCACGCTTGCAGAGATTGGCCGGGTAACGAATTCGGTTCGTCGCACATATTACTGATATTGTGCCAGTAACAGAAAAAAGCTCCAATTAAAAGTGGCACTGGGACGTTGGTCCTTGCTTAAAATCTTGTACTGTCAGAGTGAACGGAATGCAGTGCTCTCCATGTATAAAATACGTCTTGAAGAACATTGGGACTGTTTCCCACAAGGGGATACTGCTTGTCAAGGGGCTTCATATAGAAAAGAGATCACGGAAAGCATTGGCATGTTCTGTTGTACTTAACATACATTAATTTCATACACCGTCGTTTCCTTTGACCTTCAATGCAGAACAGTTTCAAGGATGTCCCTTTCTCCAATGGACAAACACTTCCCAATATATGGAAAATATTCTCATATTTTCTGAGCATCCTGTCCTTTTTCCGACTCCAGTTGATGATTATCATGGCTCAGGATTTTTTACTCGACAAACTGAACGTAACTTGACAAAGGATGCATACCCACTCAGCCAAGCGCTAATAGCTATCAAATGTAAGCAGTCTGCTGTAGGCAGATATAGATTCGTGGACGTACACCTCCGTCCACTAAGTGGCGATACATCTCACATTGCGACTGACAGTTTACTGGTGTTTCTGATACAATTGGACTTCGTTTCTTTGGGATCGCGGGCCCAGGTCGGAGACCACGATTCCAGTCTATTTTTTTCTTGATTTCTAACGCCTGAAAAGACGTGCATTACTCGGCCATTTTCGCTAACTTTGTGTCAGGGCGGTCAAACGTAGAACACCCGAGGCACTTGTGGATATGAATCTTCAAAACCACTCTTGACGGAAGGCGGTCAATTATGACAGGTAGCAAGCTATGGCTCAGCGTGAACGACAGATGTTCCCACGTTATAGTCAAAACAAAACGTCCTCATTTTCATGTTTTGGTTGTTACGTTAAATTCGTACTCCACATATCGTCATATACTTAGCACTTGATGAGCATGCCCATGCCAAATGGTTGTGACTAGGAAACCACATTCGTTTAATGGAACCACACTCACCTCATGGACTATCCGATCGATTTCGTCCGTTGTCACACCAACTTGAACGGCATTCACTCCCTCTTCTAGCACTTCTCGAGCAAGCTGAAAATTAATTAGAATAAGCAGGATTACAGAAACCCCAATCGAAATAACCCCTAAAATGAAACCCGGTAGGCCAGCCGCTAATGCGCCTAGGTATTTATACACAAAGATAGTGGTGAATGGATGGTAATAGCCGTGAGTAGGTTGCGCAGTGGATCAAATGCGAAGGTTGCTTAGATCCCCAAAGGCCAACGGTTTCAAGCGACGCAGATCTCAAATAAGAAATCTGTGTACATATGACACAAGAGACAAGACAAACTCCGGGAACAGGAATCAAGCCTGCGACTTCCCAACTACTACTTGAACTGTCTACACTGTATATGGGGAGAATCAGATGGACACATCCATGAAGACAACGTCACAGTGACAAGATGGACAACAAAAGTCTACGTTGAATGGTACCAATTCATTGCTTAATAGTCTAGAATAACCCTAGCCTCGTGTACCCAAATCTGAAAGTGAACCAAAATGCTCGAAAATACGCCTTTATGTATTCAAATGCAGAAGTTGACTGCTGCATTCCTATAGCCAAAAGTGTCTCAGTAATCCTATAGACCACACTAGCAGTAAGGCACTTCCGCGAGGTGACCAGCATGCTCATAAATATGGAAGTAGCGATGCTATCTCTTTCGAGGAAGAATGGGTTAGACAGAGTCAGCAGAATCCAACCTCCCAAAAGTTGATCATGACCACCATGGACTTGACTACTGTGGTCGAGAGCCGGATGCTGGTCAAAACGCACCTATTGTGCGCAACAACATCAGCAGTCAGACAGTTCTGTGTCTTCGGGCCAAACCCGTCCTCACTGTCATCGGGAGGGTTCCGAAATGTGACCTCAACATCCGCTGCCTTTCGAGAAAGAACCTCAAGTCAGAATCTACGGGAATAAAGTCATAGATTCTCTGACTGCTTTGCGGGTCCGAATTTCGAGTCAGTTATGGTGAAAAAAGAATAAAGTTTGGAGAACCTTTCCAGTTACCACAACCTTCTAGTTTGTCTATCCTAAGACCGAATCGTGACAGGACTGTCGATAGATACCAAGCGCTCCAACTTCCTTAATGAAGAAGCAAGAATACATTGTCAGCATGAGGATGCACGAATATCTATCGGAAAGAGACTGACCTAAAGCATCAAAAATGATAGATGAGAAAGGAGAAATGTTCCGGAAATGGAACATAGCTTTCACACTGAAGTAGCCGGTATTTATTCCACCTCATTCGAAAAACTGCTTCAAACAAGTCTAGTGTACGTGAGGCTATCATGGAAAACGAAGCATCTATTTACTATTAACAAAACCGATGTCTACAAGGCTCGGGTGGAAAAATCTTAAGGTCAATTCAACTGAATCTGCGCCCCAGTTGCACCACTAACAGCAACGAATCGTATGGAATGGAAAGCCAACCGTTCATGTGTCTCTAAAGAGGAGGTTCGAAAAGAACCAGAATTCTTGGAAAAAGGCACCTTGCCCCGAATAGCTCGCATTGACCGTGTTCAAAGATGGCGCAGTAGAATTTGTATCTGGGACCACAGGTGTGATCTAACGAGCTCAGAAGAAAGATGAATTTCCAAAAGGCGCCAAAACAGAGCTTGGAAACAATTGAGGTGTCAGTCTTAATGCTATTCTTTTGAAAATTCTCGAAATTATCATCCTGTGAAGAGTCAACAACAACAACCGAAAATAGCCAATTCATGGAAATGAAACAAGTTGCTGTCCAGATAAGGGATGAAATTACGAAACCTTGGCGTATTTACGGCCGCAATCATCGTCTTCCTTGGTCCGAAAGGAACTTTTGACTTAGCTGACCGTTCTGTTTTATGGTACCAGTAAACTAGCAAAGGCATTCGGGATATATTTATTTCATTTTGTCACTCACTACATTCCAACGCCTGCAGACGTATAAAGGTCTACGCTGAATGTTCTCCTGAGTTCACTACCAAAAACGATATTCGACGGGATTGCTCTTCCTCAGGGTTTGACTGATTTCGCAGGTGGGTTGAATAATGAGGAATCACGTGAACTGTCTACTACCTCAGGAGTGCGGCTATGTCCATGGGAGAGCCCAGTCGAAACACAAAATTGGTTACATAATTTGGCTCACCAAGCCATTGATTTCCGCATGCACTCTGCATCATCAAAATAGAGTGGGACTTCAAGATTGTATGAATTCACCAGTCTAACTGTTGCAAAACGTTGGGTGGAATTAATTAATAAGCAATGAAAACAGGAAAACAAGGTCCAAAAATCACACACAAGGCGACAGTGGTATGTCATAGTCATTTCTCTCGGTTGAAGACTGACGTCTCTGTGGCTAGGATCTACAAAAGTGGTCGCAAATGAGAAAGGGAGGTAACAAAAGATACTAAAAAATGATAGGAAGTATCAGTGGTAGCATGTTTTCCCTTATCCACCCTGCTGCGTGAAGCCAGTAAGGCAGCTCTGACGATCTTGCCACGGAACAGTCAGTGTGGCATGAAATTATTGATATTCGCACAGATCACGGTTGTGTGTAGGCGCAGATACTATCATCGTGACGAAACCTAGAAGGAGGAGCATTAGAACCCTCAATGAAAGGCTTCAGCTCAAAAGCATGAGCGCAAAGTAAAGGTGTCAAAGAATACCAGAGTAGTGAGAACTTCAAGGGACATGGTGCACACGTGTTTCTCTCCCCCCTCCCCCCTGAAACGACCTCTGCCTGCTCACCAACCTGGTATGAGAAACACTGCGAATGTCACGCGGACAACCTCCAGTAAAGCTCAAAGCGTCAGGAAGGTGCACAAACGGCCAGTTTCTTCGTGACGGATTTAGATAGTACGACACTGGGCGAGTCGCTCTTCTTCCTGTTTCGTCTACTTTAGCGGCGGCCAGAGCACGGCTACGAAAACCACAGTACTGACTTGGTTGAAGGAACATATGGGCGGTTAAAGGCCTCTGCCACGTACTTCAAACGATCGCTTCGGACAAATTGTGGTTCCAGCAGTTCAGGCCACATGGTCGCTCTTAGGTAAACTGATACAACATAATTAAGGAGAGACATAAAAGAAACCACTCCCTTTCATAAATCTGGGGAAATTTGAGTTGAGCTATACCAGAATAACACTGTTAAGTGTAAATGTATATTGGCACGGAAGTAGGCAGTTAAATGAGTGTGTACAAATGAATTAGCGGACTTTACCTTGCAGGTAACACGCATGCGTTCGGCTTCATCGTCGTCCAAAGTTTGAATCATGTGCGAACCTTTGGCCTGGCGCTCAGAGTGAGGAACACCTAAAACTGCCAAGAGATATGTAGTGGCCTACCCGACTCCGCATAGTCTGGTCGCTCGATCATATCCGGGAGAGTGCGAGTAGGCGTCTAGAAGGGTAAACACTGTGAGGAATACAGCAATATACTTTTGCTGCTGGCCTCAATGACCCTGTGAAAATATGACCGGCAAATTCTTCATCAACGGCTGACGCAGGCGCAGTGCCCCCTGAAAAAGCACACTCTAACTGGTAATTGGCAAAACAATACCAGCAGCCAAGTGGATTGTTTTGTGAACTTTCCAAAACTGTTTGAAACATTCCTACAACTTGCACAATAACACTGGAAAAGCGTACCTGAGAGCAGAAAAATGAATTGGTAATGCCCAACTTCAGACACGTAGGGCATCTGAGCGTGGACGGTCTACCGCAGGCCGGAGTAACGCAAATATTCGCCATTAAGACGACTGCAAACGAAAAATACACGGTGCTGCAAGAACACAGGGATATTCGTTGAGTTAAAATCGAGAATAACCACAGTACACAATGAACAGTAACAAACACGCAAAGGAGATAGTTTTTTGGATCACGTTAATAGCTTGGATTGTCACCTCGACGTGATACTTGCAAGGTAAGGGGCTCCCTGGTACCTGGAGCAGGTGAGAAGGCCTTCGCGAATCGAAATTTACCAGCTCATTACAGCCTTTTTCACTTAACAAACACCCAACGGACCTCGGTATCACCGAACTGGTGTTTGCAGCAGACATGAGGATTGATTCGGAGGGACCTATCTTCCCTCAGTTATTGGGAAATCCTCGATGTTTTCTTACAGATCAGGTTTCTGAACCGCACAGTGTGAAATGTGCGGCTACTGCCCGAGGCAGACGAGCTGATGTCATACCAACTCAACCACAGAATTCACAAAAACCGCAACGGCCCTCCATATTCAAAAGGTCACTTCGTCACTGGCCAAAGAGTTGGAAATGAGACAACTTCTCGGGTGGAAGAATCGATCGCTTACGTCACCTACTTCATCCGCAAGCTTTGGGTTGGGATGTGATCTCAATCAGCATTGCAGCAGTTCTTAACGTTTCAAATGTGTGAAGCGTACACCCAATGGTACCGCAGAACTACCTACCGGGGGCGAAAATTTCTTCGATGTTTCTACTCACTTATTTTTTCCCAATCACGCTGTTTTATTAGTTTCACCCTGAATGTGTAGTTTGCATTCAAAGCCACTACTCTCTGTACATCATCCACTGAGTTCTGGGTTCCCTAACCAGGGAAGCAGTCGTTGTGAGCCTGGATGAGTTGACTGGTTAGCGCATTCATTCCCAGGTCAAAGACTGTTGTGGTTGCTTCCACTCAGCATCTGGCTAAGCAAAAAGAACTCGGAGTAACTGGCGTAACCTATGGAGCACGAGTAGCCTATCTATTGTGAGAATTCATTATTCCTCGATCATCTAACGCACCTCAGCAATGCATCCCATCACATCAACATAATGCTTTGGAGGCACTAAGTGTCAAACGCTGAGTTTTCGTACATTCCGTATACATGGAAGCCATGTTTCTGACCCATAAAGCAGTATGTATGTAATGCTGTAGTATGCACACTCTGCCCTTGACAGACAAACTGACATCACACTGGCGCCATAAGTGTCGGAGATTAGCAGTTCGGGGAACGATCCCACTTCCGGCCAGTCCACCGGAGTTTAACCAACTACCCAGGTAAATAGTTCCATCTACAATATTAATTGGCTGGTCTGTAGGCACGATATTTGGGCTTTCCCACCCAAGCTTAAAGCAGCACTTTACACTTTATAGTATGAAGCACACAGTAAACGTTGCAACTTAAAACTTGTACTTTTGAAATCTGGACCAAGCGGAGTAATGTCGTCCACGTACTCATTGTCTGTAAGCAAACACTTCTGCAGCGTTTCTAACACCGAAGTCTCACAAGCAAGCAGATAAGTTTCAAGCAGCACGTCAAAAAGGAGGCCAAGGGAGAAATAGTGGGATTGGGAAGTCTTGAACTCAGACGAAAACTGGCCATATAACCAAACACGAAAGTTCGTATACGGTACCCTCATAAAGAGCACTTGACCAGGGACACCATCGGTCGTTACGCACCACCATAGATTGACGATCTACGAAGAGGAGAACAGTCCTCGGATAAGGGAAAATCACGTATAGAAAAATAGCACTGCTTTGGGACTTGACTGAAGGCAAAGTGTGGTTGACGCATCCTCGGCCAGGACAAAAACCAGCTTGATTCAGATAAATCTGTCGTTCGAGGTAATTGGGCAACCAGTGTAAAATAATTACAGAGAGCACACTGGATGTCACGCTGCCAGACTGATGTCACTATGGTTTTCGCACGACGTTAATGAATTCACTCCGAAGAGTGGGATCACTGCCCAAACGCTCCGTTTCACTGGTATTCTGTTGTTCCAAATCTCCCGCAGCTTGTTTGTCGGACTGTTTATCAGGTTTTCACTGTCTTCGAAAGTTGCTGCTTTGGCAGAATGATATTTCACATTGGATTAATGATGCTGATGCCGGCCTGATATCGACGTTCAATTCAGGTGCATTCAAGGGATCGTGCTGAAAATAACCACTTGGATTGTTCTTTAAAGTGATCCGCCTATCATTCAAGATCACGATTGTGTGAATGAATTTTCGTTCAACTTATTCCGCAATTTGGACAACTGAGCCAATAAACTGAAACATGAGACAATGAACGTTTTTACCATTTCCTAGGACTTCAAAATCCATTAACAAGCTTCAGGCTCTGGAGTATCCGGAGGTTGGGAGATCTGTGCGCCGCCGTAGTCTTCAACTGCTGGTGTCACCTGTTTGGCATCAATAAGAGCATCCGACTTCGACCATATCCTAAGTTGGTTTGATCGAGTCGGATGATTTGAACACTAAGCTGAGCACATGGCATTCATAGTCCAACAGCTCTTCGTCATAAGCGTGACTGTCCATTTCCAGCTCTCTGATCAGATGAGTTCAATATTGTTGAGCTACTGGAACTCGTCGAAGTCGGTGACCGGACGCGAACGGATCTTCACTAGGTGTCATCTTGAAGGACAGTGAACTGATAACCGAACGATCGGAGTCATGATGAGTAAACCAGGAGGAATGACAATCCTAAATGGAAGCTCCTCTCCTGCAATTGATTGCCACATAATCCAGCTGACCCCATGACTGACTTCCAGTTGGTGTGGGCGCTAGTGATAAAGTTTTGTACTGGCCAGGAACAGGCGGTTTTCACCACACAACTGAAAAATTCTACCCTCATTACGCTGACCATCGACACCAACTCGATCACCTAATGTGCTCCTTCAGTGTAGCAGGAACCTATAATCGACGACTGAGGTTATCGTGGTAGTCGGGTCTCACGTCGCATACTCTTATTGCCTATTCTTTTGCATCCTGGCGTCCAAACAGACTTGGCGCTACTTTGCACATAGCTTGAGCCTCGGTTACGTCCACTACTTTGTCAATGCCTACGTCGTACAATTCATGACCCACAAATTAGCAGAGTAAACACCAGGAAAATTTAAGGTTTGAATACCTAAGACATAAGGCGACATGACTAATAACTTTACTGTTCCGTTGCTCGAACACCGAACACATCGAAATGGAAGTCGGCTGAAAATTAGAAGGCCTGAGCCTTCCCTATGACTCAGGGGTCATTACAAAATAAGAAAACTAATTTAGAAAAATTTTAGGTGCTCCACTCCATGCCTAAATTGTATGAATCCCCTCCCCCAACTAAGATAACGAGGACTGAAATTTCATCACCGCAATCAGCAGCGGACCTAAAATGAACGTTCACGCAGGGAATGTTGTTTAGCCCTCTGATTTGCTGATAGGACCCGCCTCGTTGTCGGTAACCTTCACAATGGCCAATCCTATAAATGGGCCCAGCTGGGCAGTTGTAGACGAATGAAGGCTACTCATATGACACTTGCTTCCCAGTTAGAGGACCGTCGGAAAAGAAGGTGGTACGTTCGGAATTAGTTTCGTTTTTTGTTCGCGCGAATTTGTGAAATAATTCTTTCCCTGTCTAATCTACTTGCAGAGCTAACACGTGTGATTTTGCAATTTTCGCTCTAAAATTACACGTGCATGAAATCCTCTATCAAAGGGTACTTCATTTGTGCGATGCGCCCACTTTCAATAACGAGCCAGGTTATCGCAAACTGCTTTCCTCCACAGATCTCCGTGAACTACAGCAGATGTGAAAGAAACGACCATTCGTTGAGTGTTAGACGTTGAATGTAATGTCACGCCTGCCAGAGCCGGTGGTATTTCGAACGTACGAGTTTTCAGGACGATTGGATGGGCCAGTTATCTAACTCTTCTGGCCTGTTTGTGTGACGCAGCTACCTCTACAGTGGTGGTGTGATTCCCTCCACAACAAACAAGACAGCTTTCAGAAACGAAACCAAGTGTGAAAGATCTATGTGGGTGTTCCGATCTAATCGGGATGCTTGAGAAAGAGTTTGAACTGCTCACCAACACTCTGTAATGTACAAACGTAAAATAACCAGGGTGCTTGCCCAAAGTCGATAAAGACTATTACTCCGCAAACTAGTACCTAGAGCCATCCATTCTGAGTCCGTTGGCTACTGGGAGGGTTACCAAGCTCCCGGACCCGACATCCAAGAACGCAACGGTGCCCCCAGTGAACAGCGGCATGAGTACGAGCTAGCCGATCGTCTACAGTTCATTGTCAAGAACAAGAATCCCTAAAAATCGGCATAATCGGTATAATCACAAAGCCTCGAAATGAATCTCTTCGGGCAGAGTGGTAATTTGGAATGTGCAGCAAGCGAACATTCGGGCTTCCTGTAACCATTTCCTCGCCAACTGCCGTACAGAGGATCTTGGCACATTCAAAACGTCCATCCAAATATCAAGCGCATATCCTAGGATCGTCCCCAAGCGGCGCGAAATCCGAGACGCAACAGTCTCGGAGGCCCGTAGCAGCCAGCGGCTCGACGCACAATGCATTTTTATCTTGGCACAAAACGTCCATCCAAATATCAAGCGCATATCCTAGGATCGTCCCCAAGCGGCGCGAAATCCGAGACGCAGCAGTCTCGGACGGAGGTAGCAGCCAGCGGCTCGACGCACAATGCATTTTTCTCTAAAACCCCTGCGGGCGAACTAAAAACTTTAACGTCAAAATGTTGCACTTCTTTGCATATATGCGTGAACTGAAAACCCCCC